CTAAATACATATGGGTTAGCTTACTTTTTTCTATTCACTATCATTATTTTTTACAGCAGGGTAACCGCCTCAAAATATGTATTCAAATCACTATAAAACTAATAACACAGTCACAATTTCAAACATGGCACAGAACTTCATTCATCTCAACAGAGGCCATCTTAGCTAGTTTCTATTTTTTGTAATTTATCTTAGCAGAGTCTTATGAACCCACAGACTACTTCCCATAAAAAGGTGACAATGAGATGCACAAGAGAAAACTACTTCACTTGCTGTAAAGAGGTTAACAATATCTCTCACTCACACAGTGGCTTTAGTTCCCCTCTGAGAGTTTAATCTGCATGTCATCTGATGCAAGAATCAGCAACTTTGTGTCATGCACCTGAGAGTCCCTCAGCATCCCTCCTGCAGGAAGCTCAGTGTGTTCAGATTCCCTCCAGTCCAGAAGGAACAAACATAAACATTGATTTTAAGGCAAGACACCACAGGTGAAAAGGGTAAAAATGTAACTTTTAACTAACAGATCGCCCCAGTTGATTAATCACAGACAACTGTTTTGTATTACAAGTTTTCAGAAATGATGTTACATTTAAATGAGGCAAATTAGGAATTCTGTAATTGAATATGCACTTGCATACATTTCCAGAAGAGAAAACTAGGCACTGTATAAAGACAGGTTCAAAATTCTTTCATTTTGTTGACATACTAAAGGGTCTCTTCGATTTCTCTCATTATCACTCCATAAATCAGAAAATACCAAAGCAAAACCCAAAATGACAAATTTTGCCTATAGTGTCTTGCCTTAAAAGGCAAACTGAATATTCAATATAATTTCGGAAGAAAATAAAGTTAGTTTTTTTTATTTAATTGATTTTAATAATTAAAAGTCTGGCTATTAAGTCTTTATTGTTATTTTATGTAATTCAATGTAATACCAGAAGCTTCTGTAACTGAACTCAAATGTCCAAAAAAGCTCTGTCTGATTATGAAATGCAATAGGTGAGAAAGTTCAATAAAGATACAGAATCATCATTTTAAGACTGTCAAATCACTATATTAATTTCTCAGTTCTTCAAAGCATCATTATATGCATACAACTAATGAATACGGTTTTTTTTGTGGAACTTAAAAATGTTCTCCTCTTAAATAAAGATTCTTTAAAGATAAAGATTCTTTGGCATTGATAGTTCCATTATAGGAACCGTAAACATCCATCATTACACAAAAGGTTATTCTTTAGATTATTAAAATGTTCTTCATACTAAGAAAACTACTGTTATTTTAAGAAATGTTCACTGAAAGGTTCTTTGAGGAACCCAAAATGGTTCTTCCCTTTCGGCACCTTTATTTTTAAGAGTGTAGCCTAAAAACCTTTTCAGGTTCTACCTGGAACCTTTATGTATATAATACATTTATAGCGGTTAATATAATTACTACTCTACATAACTGGGTCTCATATCAAATAATGCAAACTCTGGAAAGTGTCAAGTGTCAAATTTTTATTTTTCCCCTGAAACGTCTCACTTCTGCTTTTGACAACATCAGTGGCCTGAAGTTTTTGTACATGTGGTGAGTCTCTCGGAATCAGAAATAGCCTCTCTGGTCAGCGTTCATATTTAGGCGATTTTTCAGGCGATGGTTTTTTTAGTGTCAGGCTTATCGCGTTCAGCACAGCGGCCGACCTTGCGTTCCCATCAGCCCATTCTGAGCAAAAACACACACACACACAAACAAAACCACCTGCACATTCAGGGTTAAGGTAACAAGACATGTTTCACCTTTATGTAAATAAGTTTAAATATGATGCATATATATATATATATATATATACACATGGCCGTACCCAGGCTTTGAAAATTAGTGAGGTCGGGGGAGGGGTGCTATAATAACCCCTACAAATACAACTCATTATATACACTATAAACACTTTAAAGGAGACAGACATGTAGATGTTTGTGAAAGATGTTTTCTCTTTTTTGTTTTGGAGGAATTATTCTTTTTAAATCATACCCTACTGAATGCATCAAAATACTTTACAACATTTAAGGGTGGATAATTTGATCAGTTTATTACAACAATACATAACTACAATACGTTTGTCTAGTGCTCGTATTAAAGTTCACAGAATGATTTGTGAAAATTTAACTATACTGAATGACATAGCATAGACTTCTTCATGGCTAGTTATTGCGTATTTCATTTCATTCTGTAACCAACTTGTTCTACAGATCTGTGTGTACTAGTGTTAAATGCTACTGTTTTTGACAGCGTTGATAAGGTTTATGACAGATAATGTCATGATCATTTTTGCGTTTCCCTTACCGAATGTCGTATCCTGTCAGCAAAAACCTGTCCATGGGCTTTTTTGATTGCCTTCAGTTTAAGAACACCTGCGATGCAGTGTTGCCAGATATTGATACTAAAACAAACAAAAAAACTACAAGTAAATAAAAATAAACCGAAATTATTTCCGATCTTTTATAAATAAGATAAGATAAAGATATCGCTGACTCTACACGGAAACGTCCTACTTTATTAACTTTCTAAAGTGTTAAATTAAGTGGAAAAGACAAGTCCAAAAACGCTTATAATAGCTGGATCTGGCAACACGGAGGCTGCGCCCGCGCCCTCACTCACAGCTCTCTCAAGCCTCCTTCAGTCCGCCAGCATCTTGCAGCGATCATTTTCATACCAGGGAGGGACGCTAAACATTCTTCCAAACTGTCTAAACTGAATTATACATGTCATGCAGGCATTCATATGATGAGTTTAACAGCAAATTAGTCATTCAAAGAACACATTTTATTTTTGAACATGAAAAATTTACCAAGGTCCGGACCTCGGTGGCCTCATAGCTGGTTACGGGCCTGAACATATATATTCAGAAATAAAATGTTCCTAATAAAGGCCTACTGTAGATGCTCTTTATATCTTCAGCACTGCTTTTGCACCTGTAACATACAAAATGAAGAGTGGAGATATTTTTTCCCTTTTGATCAGGGTATAGCACATATTTCAGAGCAATTTATAATCTCAGAAATCATATGAATGACTGGATGTGGACTATTTTTCAAAAAGCTTTCCATTGCCTTAACTAAGAGTTCTCCAGAGTGCAATGCTTGTCTCTAAGGCAACCGAAGCAAAGCTTTGTCAGTTTTAAAAGGTCTCTTAACTTAGTGCTCTCAAACCCTGGTCCTTTCTTCCGAATAGAATCTTTCTTGTTGTGGACTTAAATTTTTGTGCAAAATAATAATTCTTTAATACATATTTATTGTGGCTGATACACTACTCAGATAGCACACGTGTCATCTTTTAAAGATCGCTTCATCTGGAAAGCATCTGCTGTGTACAAACATCTGATAGACGTCTCTAAGATGTCAGTTTTACATACATTGTAAATCATAAACATCTTAAAGACATCTTCTAAGCGTCTATTTGACATCTAACAGGAAACGTCCTATAGACAGACGTATTGCAAATCAGCAAACACTCTAAAAAAATACGTCTTGCAGATGTCAGATCGACGTCTCCGTGATGTACGTGTGCTATCAGGGTGTGAATATGCAACATTTTGAATGATCTTAGGCTATCATGCAACACTTTAAAAAATGCTGGGTTGTTTCAACCCAACTTTGTGTCAAATATGGACTAACCCAACATTGGGTTAAATTTTTTAATTAAATTTTTAACTCAAAAGTTGGGTTAGTCCATATTTGACCCAAAGTTGGGTTGAACAAACCCAGCATTTTTAGAGTGAAATAGGCCAATTTTACTCAACCCACATTTTTAGCGTTCTATAGCAAGCTCAAGCGCATTAGGTAAATAAAAAAAGAAAGTCCTTGCATGATGTTGTTTTAAATGTGTTTTTATGATAGGCCTATGTGATTTATGTATGTAGCTACAACATAATTCTAAAATGACTGCAGTCTTGCACATTTTATGTCTAGTTATTTGGGAAATCTCAAGCATGTTTTCAATTACAGGTTTTGAAAACAACACCACCTTAAAGGGGTCATATGATGTTGCTAAAAAGGTCATTTTGTGTATTTGGTGTAATGAAATGTGTTTATTCGGTTTAAAGTTCAAAAAACAAATT